ACACTATAATTTCATCCCGTAAATATTACTGTGGGGTTCAATTTTGTGTTTTTTTATATATTGAAATATTTCTTGATGTTTTTCATAACTGAATGTAAACATTCGAACAATCATCGCCTCAGATGGTGTAGCAATACTCCTTTGGGTGGATGTCTTTAATCGCTTTCTGCTAGTAGACATTGTCTTACACTTGAAAGAAAATTGTTCAAAGTGGGGTACAATAGAATAATGAGACAAAGTATACCCATAGTAATTATGTTATTGTTTCTTAAAACAAATAAAAATTAGACTAACATTAGGTATTTTGCATATAAGAACAATTCCTAAAGCACTTAATTGAATTAATCTAATTTTATTAATTAGTTCTATAATTTTAACATAATTAACAATGGTGAAAAACATCACGAAAGACATACATTATGTACAACAATACTCAATTGGGGTTCAAAAGCAATTATACAATTTAGAACACCAGAATTGAAATTCATGGCATAATTAGGACAAAATCAAAAAGTAAATCACATATCGAAACAAAACCCATATCAATTCAACCAATAATTCACATCAAAATTACCTAAAACCCATGAGAATTCAAAATTGAAAAGTAAACCTAGACTAAAAGAATAAACATGAGAAAGGACAAAAAGCTTACCTTATGATGTGAATTGTTCAATAAAGTGTAAGGAATTTGAGTGAGCTTTGAAAAAAAGAGATTTTTAGTATGATAAAGTGAAGAAAATTTAGAGAGAGATTGGGGTTGGAAAAGTGGAATGGTGGAAATGAGGAAGAAGGGGGGGGGGGGAGGGGAAGTTTAAACACGGGTTCAAAAGAGCCCGTGTTTTATTTTGTTAAATATGAGTAATACGTCCATATCATAGTCCCACAGTCGTGTTGCATTAAATGAATTCGTAAAATGCCCCTTTTTGCTCAATATGACACGATTGTGTGTCAAAACAACACAACCATGTCTTTGACCCAAGAATTACAAAAACAACTATGGCTTAAGCCACGACCGTTTCTTGCTCGTGCAATAAAAGCACGGGCTCGTGCACTTAACACATGACCATGTTGAAGGTGCAATGAGTTTCATAAGCGGTTGTGGCATAAGCCATGTTGTTTTCTCTGCTTGATGCAATACTACATGTTTTGAAACTCTGTATGTCCTATCCTAAGCGAATTAAACCTACTAGCTACCACTACTTCCTAATTTCCTAAAATTTAAAGAAAAAGAATATCTGGGTTGCTCCCAGCACTTATTTTTCGTCCTTAGCTTGACGTAACAAATGTTTTCAAGAGTTAAAAAGATGGATAGTAATGGTCATGAACTCATCTTTCGCATTGTATGGCTTTAATTGTTGATCGTTAACCTTAAAAGACCTTTCTCCGGGTGAGTCACTTCAATTGCTCCACTTGGCCATATCTAAGTAATTGTGAATGGTCCCAACCACCTTGATTTCAACTTGCCAGAAATAATCAAAGTTGAGAGTTGAATAGTAGCAAATGTTATCCAACCTTGAAGTTTTGTTGCAATATGTGTTGATCATGTCACTTTTTTATTCGTTCCTTGTAGATAAACTTTGTGTTCTTATATGTATTGAGACGCAACACCTCTGGCTCATTGAGTTGAAGGGTCCGATGTTTATCTACAATTTTTAAATTAAAGTTTAGAAATTTTAATGCCCAATCTGCTTTATGCTCTAACTTTATGGGTAAGTGACATAGCTTCCCAAAGACAATCCTATATGGAGACATACCAATAAGAGTTTTAAATGCAGTCTTATATGCCCATAAAACATCATCAAGTTTTAATACCCAATCCTTTTTAATGTGTGCAACAGTTTTCTCAAGGATTCTTTTTAACTCTCTGTTTTAGATTTCCACTTGACCACTAGTTTGAGGATGATAAGGTGTAGCTAATTTATGCTTCACACCCTATTTAGTTAGAAGCTTTTCTAATTGTGTGTTGCAAAAATGTGTATCCCTATCATTAATTAAAGCTCTTGGTGTACTAAACCTAGTGAAATTTTTTTTCAAGAACTTGCAAACTATCTTAGCATCATTAGTAGAAGCAGAAGCTTTAACCCATTTAGACACATAATCTATACTAGGATATACTTATTACCATAAGAACTGAGAAAGGGTCTCATGAAATTTATTTTCCATACATTAAAAATCTCACAAACAAGAATGTTATTCAAAGGTAACTCATGTTTTCTAGAAATATTACTTGTTCTTTGGCATTCATCACATGATTTAACATATATGTGGGCATCTTCAAACACATTAGGCCAATAGAAACTTTATTGAAGCACCTTTGTTGCAGTTTTTGTGGCTTTAAAATATCCTTCAGCTTCTTTAGTGTGATAGAATTTAAAGATCTCTTCAATGTTATGGTCAGGATGCATCTCCTTATCACTTCATCTGCACGTATCTTATACAAGAAGGGATCCTCCCAAAAGTAATTCTTAATATCAGAAAAGAATTTCTTCTTTTGTTGATAAGAAAAATCACTTGGGATAATTAGCAGCAGAGTAATTAGCAAAATCTGCATACCAAGGAAAATTACTTATCTCAACCATGTATAGTTGTTTATCTAAAAAATTATCGTTGAATGCATCTTCATCAGTTGTTTTGTTTTCTAGATTTTCCAACCGAGAGAGATGGTTAGCTGCCAAGTTTTCAACTCCCTTCTTATCCTTGATCTCCAAATTAAATTCTTGAAGAAGTAGGATCCATCTAATCAATCTCAGTTTCATATTTTACTTAGCTAGGAGATGTCTCAATGCTAAATATTGCATGGTCTAAAAAACTCCTCATTGCTTTGAGTGAAACCAGCAGCAACAGCTTCTCTATTGCCTCTATCTTTGCCTTGTCCACCTCAATCCTCTTGTGTGATACCTTGTGGACCAAGATCATTCATTCCCTTACCATGAAATGACATTTCTCCCAATTAAGCACCAAATTGGTCTCCTCACATCTCTTTAATACCTACTTCAGATTGCTCAAACATGCATCAAGATAGGTACCAAAAATAAAAAAAATCATCCATGGATACCTCCATAGTTTTCTTCACCATATTGGCGAAGATTACCATCATGCATCTCTAAAAAGTTACTGCAACATTGCATAAGGAAAATGATATCCCTTCTATAGCAAAAATGCCACAAGGACACATGAATGCTGTCTATCTTAATCCTTCTTTGTAATGGGAA